TGTTGCTTTGACATTGCAGTCCGCAATTACCTGCTCTCTGCATTATAACCCCACCAGTTCCTGTGGTTTGTATCATTTTATTGAAGATTCAGTATTCTACTTGTGGAATATAGATTCAGCAAATTTGATTGAATGTAGCCAGGCCCAGGTAAATATACCGGAAAGAACTTCTGTTTACATGAATCAAAAACGTTTGACTAAAAGTTTCCCGATGGGAGTGGTACCGGGAAAGCGAGAACAAGATTTCCATCACTGATTGCTGTTTAGAGTGAGACGTATCGAGTTACTTTGATTGGAACCCGAGAAATGAAATCCAAATTTACCGCATTTCAATCATTTTGTTCAATAAAAATCTAGAGCTAGCAGAATTTCGATCACTTGCGGGATTTAACAGAGGGTTAAATTTTCCTAACAGGGTCTGATCAAAGCTGCGGTCAGAAACGGATCATAAAACATATGAGGTTTATTTCAATAATTTTCTTGTTAAGCTCCCGAATATTTGTCCATCAGAAGGCGGTGATTTGCCACCTTTCGGAAGCGTTTGTCCTCCATGCAGCTACACCCACAAGTTGTATATTTCCCTGCAGATGGTTAGTGCAATGAGTGACCCATGACGGAGGTCAGTCTAGGACAAATATATTTCGGCGCATCTATGTGGACCAGACTGGGTCAAGTCAGCAGAGTCCATTCCTCGGGTCCCTTAGGTTCAAATGTTTTAAAAGAGAGTGGAACGAACATTATATTCTCGCTTAATTGGTGGAATTTGAATTTGTATTTCTGAATCATTTACTTTTAAAATTAATCTGTTCATGATGTTATAGCATACCTCTGGAGTAAGTGGGACCTGAATCCGGGCCTGTTGGCAAAGAGGTAGGGACACTACCACTGTGCCACAAGAGCCCACGGCTGCCCGGTTTAATAGCGTAGCAAACTTGTCATCATATTAGCGTCTCTTAAACGATCTCTTGCTATCGAAGACACTAATAGATAACAACTGGTCATGGATAATTAGGCTGCTTTGAGGTTTAGCGTTTTTCCAACAGGTATTTAGTTCGTTCAATTACTCGGGTGCCGGTCACTGTGGGCTTTAAAACGCCCCCTTGTTCCCAAATCAGCATGGGCTGACTCACTCAAGCAGTGAGGTCTCCTACTGCTATCGGAGGAAGAGTAGGGCCAATGCATTAGACCATAGTGGGCATATGATCCCTCCTGCACAATGTAACTGGCCGCATCCAAACATGCTATAGTCAGTGACTCTGATATTGCGCTTGTTTTAAATTCTTGACACATCACCTCGGGTATGAAAGCGCCGTTGCTCTTTTACGAAACGTAATGGTGCATGAATTAAGAGCTTTGCTGCCTCCCTTAATGCTGTGCAGATAATTTGGCTTGTGTGCATGATATTCATCCAACACGACAATTTTCTTCCATGAATCATTGCACCATCATGAATGTATTAAGCCGTCTTGTAACGTGTCAGTCCTGTAATAAGATTTAATAGGGACAACGACCAAAATTTTAACAATCTTGTGTCAAGTTCTTTTTCCCCCAAAAGAACAATCTCCTTGGATATCCTCAGCGCGTTATAACCTGAGTACACAGCCTTTGTTGATCAGCACAGTTGAAGAAACTTTATTATAAAAGCGTACGACTTGGAATGTAAAGATATTGTTATCTAAGCCAAGTAATCATGGGTTACATGAAGGAACAAGCTGTCGGAGTGGTGGGACCTTGGAATTTCTACAGAAACGTGAGTGTGGGGCCCAGCTACCTGGCGATTTCAGTGACTGTTGATGGGGTTGTGGGGTCAATCAGCCAATCGCGAAGAACACCCAACCGCGTGTTTCCGAGAAATCATTTCGCCTTTGAATTTCGCAAGGGACCTGAATGTTTATCATTGTTTCCATGCATCGCCAATGTTAACATTCATTCCAGTTACCAGCAAAGGAAAACTCAGATCTTGTTGCAATAGAATGATTTTTGAACAAAGCAGGCTTGCTACAAATTTATTGGGGGTGAAACTAGTTATATCATTAACGGTTATAGAATTGATATGAGGTTCTAAGAAAGTACTAAAATGCAAACAATTCAGTCTGGTGTAGGCGAAAGGCGGTTGATGCTGAATACTTTATGTAAGCCAGTAAGATTTAAACATGACTCAAGTGATGGTCCAGATTAGTAGTTACTTCAATGTATGCACTTCTAAGATATTCCTGACTGAAGTTGTTGGATTGTAGTAAATTTTGGCGTTGTGGTGTAGAAATTGGATTGGATGAAACCGGCTGTTTTTATTCCCAGATGGTAGCGCCATTGGAGATTGGAACAATAAGAAAGAAAGGAGTCATTCCCACAAGCGAGTTTCCGAGTAGTCAAGTCTTCTTTGTCCGTAAACTCATAATTGTTTAGCATTGTATCTCAGTAAGAATGGGTTTAATTTGAAATTGAGACGTGGAGCTGGGATCTTGTGATTTTTGGTCCAATGTGAACCAACTGTGGTTTGCTGAGAATATTTCCAGAACGGATCCCAAAACGCCACATTCACTCTGCCCGTGGTCGTAACAAAGGAGGACAATTTGCTATGTGTGAGATGTGTACGGGAGTGGTTCCGCTGTGAGTGAGTAATGGGAGTTTATCTTTTGCTGCTACCTCTCGCTCACATACAATGAGAAAGAAACATTCTCATTCTTGTAATGTATGCGCGAAATCACATCGTGGCAAAATTCGGAGTTATTTTGATGAATTCAGGGGGCTAGTATGCATTGTAACTCGTTCTGTTATTCGCTCCAGTACGAAACTTTAACATTGACTCATTTTACAATCTATATCTTAATCTGGTATAGCCACCTACACTTATGCTTACGTGAGCCCCTGAAACAGCCAGGCTGATTCCTTCCCATCTCCCACCCTCCACAACGAGGACTTCATTCAAAGTTCTCCTACACGGACCAACACTCCCACACCCCGTCCTAGCTGAGACTTACTCGCCGTCCTCATCCCCCCATCTTCCCCGGAGCAGCAGCTACTTCTACAGTATCTCAGCGAGTTCCAACAACCTTGCCCTCTCCTATCTCTGTAACCTCCCATCCTGTCCCCTAACTCTCCAAAGAATCTGCACTCCTCCGACTCGGAATTCCTCTGCACTGCCGCCACCCCTCGACAGCAAGGTGGGGTGAGAAATTCCTCGAGAACCTTATCTCTCAAATTCCATCCCCGCCCGAAAGCCGCTGTCTTTACCTCTCTCCTCATTTGAGACCCTCCTGAAAAACGTGCTCCTTAGCTTTCAGTCACTTGTCCCTGAGGAAAGTCCGCTTGGTTTAGGTGTGAAGTTTCGACTTTGGTACCTCCAAGTGAAAAGCGTTTCCCTACCTTCACCGCCCACCCCCACCTCCCCCCCCTCCCCCTACCAAGAAAACACAATGGTGTAAAATAAAGGCTTGGGTATCCGGGACGGGAAAAGTGCAAACTAATTTTCAGCAAGAAATGGACAGACTTTCTCTGCATTGAACAAAAACCGCGATCCTCTCTTGTGAAACTGGAATAATTGCATTAAAACAGGAATTAGGCTGCGGTGTGTCGTTTCGGGGCTTATTTCAAATTGCAAAATTCCGGAGAATTGGCACTTGAGAGAATCGAATATCAAAATAAGATCGGCGTTAACCATTTCAAACCAGCGTACAGTGCTGTGTTAGTCACCTGTCGTGAAAATTACTGATATTTCTGTGAATGAGCAATACATGTAAATGTTGTGATAGTGAATAGACAGCTGCCCTGGCTATGGAGAGTCAGAAGCCCATAGGGTCTAGAAAGAATACTGTTCTCCAACTCTCGCGGAGAATCCTCACTCCAACGTTTCGCAAATGCCTCTCTGACCCTATGAATGAATGAATTCACTGCTGAATAATGGAAGTGTAGTGTCCTAATGAAAAACACAAGAGGATTTGTAGCCTGGGCTCTCACTCAATGGAAAGTGACATCGAGTCTATTGGGAGATTGATCTGTACCCTTCAGTACATCATCAAGTTGTTCCAAATGCAAAACAAAGTTAATCTTTTTGGTATCAATCAAAAGTCTTTCACTTTTACTTGAGTTTGGTTTGAAACCTATGGTAAGATCGATCAGCGCATGCTATCTGGGGGTTTTGGGAGAGGGGTTCGTTATTCCTAAATGTGGGGGTTTGTGGAGAGAAGCTGAAATCTCTGCTCCTTTGCCAGGGCAGTTGAAGCGAAGGGGCTGTTAGCGTTTCTGTCCTGCCCTCCCTCCCTCCTTCCCCAACAGGCCAGTTACAGGCCCAGCCGCATGATGGATGGCCTGTTAATGTAACCTGGCACCTCTCGACTCCGGGACGCCGCTTCTTCATCAGCTCGGCTTCTCTGAGTTATTGCCCGCGGTCGAAAATCGCACGGCCAGATAGCGCCAAGTGGGAGACAGCACAGGTGCACTCTTAGGGAGAGTTCCCGGGGGATAGCATTTGGACTGCATGCTGAATGGTCTTTCAATTCAACTTGCCCCAGTCTACACTAACAATAGCCCGTCCTTTTCGGATAGCTGGGGCCGCTCCTGTTACTAAACCCCACCACCCCATCTCTCTCTCTCACACACGCACACCTTTATTGGAGCTGTTTTCCGTTCCTATTGAAGAGATTGCGTGTCAATGCAGATTATACTGTCTCTAGTAGCCACACGTGCCGGGCAGGGCATAGAGTACTTAACACGAGAGACAAACAAGAAACGAAGGGTTCAAATGCATTCAATGACACAAAGTCAGGACACTCTCTCTCGGCGAATAACAAACATGAGTAAAATCCACCAGCTGGAAAGGGGGACAGAGCAGAGTTGACTGCTCAGAACTGATGCTTTCCAGGCAGCACGGTCAGAGTTATAACTTTTTAGTTCCACACAATCGAATTTTACCCCTTCCCCCTCCCTCCCCACCGCACACCAGCTCTTTCAGAGCCCCGAGACCGAGTTTCCTCTCCAGCCCCTTGCCCAGGGCGACTCACCGTAACAGGGAATCAAGGCGCCGTTGTGGTTAGCTTCTTCGATCTTGTTCTGAGCCGGAGATTTCGCCGCCCTGCCTGCTCCCTGTATGTACAGATATTTGTTAAAGACGCTGTCGCCGGCGCTGGGGTTTTGAATGCTGCTGTCCAATGGCTCGCATTCCTGCTGGAAGGGGGTCCTCGGCTTCTCACCATAACTTTGGCCTTTGTTGTTCAGGAAGTTGGGAGCAAACTTGTCACTTGGCTCAAATGTTCGGAAGGGAGACTGCTGCTCCTGCGGAGCTGAGTTATAAAATGAATCCATGCTCGCCATATCGCAATAAGACACGCAAGTCTCCCCGTTCATTCCTTAAGTAAAAATGTTTCGAGTAATATAGACAGAAGTGTAGCCGTCCTGAAAGGCTGTCAGGCAGGAAGCGAGCTGACGAACAATACGGAGTCGTACAGCACAGAAAGGGGAGCTGACTTCAACGCGAATCCTTTTGTGGGTTATTTCGTGAGAGGCAGGGGCTTGTAGATGTAACAACTCACTATATCCCAGACCCTCAGCGTCTCCCACCTCTTCCCCCCCAATTAATATGTAGATCAGATAAATAGGGAGGTCAGATCTCCTCACAAAATACTTCAAAAGGGAGACAATTAAACACATGACAGTAATGTAATTAGGGGATGAATCTGTCCTTATCTTAAAATCCAACCGGGGCCAATTTAATGGGCACGCTGTAGTTGATTTGCAACGCCCTTACTGAGTACTGGCTTTGTCCGTCCTTCGCAGCCCCGAGTTAGATTTCAGGATCGCTTGCACAATGGTAAAAGTTAAGAGCCCGCATAAGAGAACACGACAATGAGATTTAGTTTAGTTCTGTTAAAAACAAACCGTCGTTTGCACGTCAGTGCTTACGTTCTGAACTGGATATTTACTTGAAAACAGCGCATACATTATCCCGAGAAATAGACATTTCGAGGCTGCAGTCAAAATAGGGCTTGCAAAAAAACAAACTGAAATCGGAACTTTTTTTCGCTCCGCTCGCCATTCTACTCGACCTAACATTATATCAGGTACTTTCGTTGCCCGCCAATATCACGTTTCAGAACTGACGGTAAATTATTTCGACAAAATGCTACTTCAGTTACTGGTCCGTGATCACCTCCTACGCGTTTCTCGGTCACAATGCACTGCATCACCCCTTTGAAACATTTGCCACTTATAGAGCCATGATTTCCCCATTTCTTAAATCGAACTTTTGCAAACAATATACAATAACAATGCAAGTATAGTCATTGGAAGATCTCTGCACGCTCAGACAACACTCAGTAAGTATTGGGAAATTAGAACAGTTTAAGGAAACAGTTCAAACTCGCTACCGGACACGGGGATGAGACTTAACCTACTCAGTTAAAACAAAACTTGTTTGGTGTCCTATATAACCCCGAGTTCCGATTAAACTCAATTTAAAAGTTCCGATTTAAACTGCTCCTCCTTCATTCCCCCCCAGATAATTCGGTGTTAAGCACCAGTTTTAACAAATTCCTCACAAGATGCTCGCAAACATCGTTTGTGTGTCCATATTTTTGCTAATATAAGTTATGTATTTGTAATTACCTAACCATAAAAGAAGGAGATGTGTTTGTGCTCTGATGCGAACAATGCAGAGTCAAAGTGAATATTGTCAAATATTTACAGTATTCGCAGTTCTTTTGGTTTTTATTGAATATTGTCAAAGTTGCAGAAATCCTTCCTTGAATATTTGACTCAATTTTAGGTGAACTATCTACTGATTGGGGCATGGCTAGCAGATTGTTTTCACATCATTAAAGTGCAGCGGAAGATCCAAGTGGTTATTTTACTGGTCAATAAATTCACACTCGCAAACTGGAGGATAAAAATGCAACGCACATGAGAAATTCCGCACGAGGGAGTTTTATTTGAGTTTTTATAACTTTTTTGTGTTTGTTGCATCTACCAGATTCGAATATTCTCCGCTCATGTTGCACTTGTACGGCATTTGTTGATGTTTCTTTATTAAACTCTACAAATGATGGAATTAGTCTTCCTTTTGAGTAGTATTGATGATTTTCCTAAAGTATTCTTGCCTCATCACTGTAAGCGATATTTACACCTTCTGTTAAAATTGTAAGTATTCTATCCAATAAGTTGCAATATATTTTTTGGACAATGGCACTAAAATCCACTGAAAATACAACGAATCATAAATCAGGTTCTGGTCTTCAAAGAATATCATATTATAAACAGCATAACCCAATCTTTTAATCACAAATTCCTTTGCGCAAATATACATTTGCTGAGGTAAAACCATCACATTACATCTGTTTTTTTATGTCACCTATAAATCTTCGCCAATTACAGAGACGCATTTTTATTATTTCTTAAACTGCACACTTAGAGAAAACTCAGTGACCATTTAAGAAAACGATGCAGGCAGAATCACAGTTAGCTTGGAAGGATCGGAATAAAAACAATATTTGTCATGGTATGACTTGCCTTGTTGTTTGGAATCGGAATTTACTTGAATGTGTTTCCACATCTTTTTTCAACACAGATGCAATTGACAGACACGATACCAGCCTGAAAAGGAAGAGCTCGAAGGGTCAGGACTGAACAGACATTGCATAGATGAGTTGGGAAAAATACTTTAATATAAGTTTGAAGTGACAAGAGACTTTCTGTGTACATCAAGGACACTTGGGCTAGAAAGAACATTCAAGACATGTTTCGTGTACCGTGACCTTTTCAACGAATGTAGCAAGGAGAAATGTTCATCACACGAATAATCCACTGCACACCTTGTGCAGCAATCCAATCAGGAAAATTGCCTACAAGATGAGGTTCTTAAATCCTCTTTAAGTTGGAGCTTGACTCGTTTTGTATGAAAGCTGACATCTAAATTATAAAACGTAGAGATTTGAACCATGAGATCACACTATAAAAACAGTCATTCAAGAAAAACACAGTATGCCCAAAATGATCACTCTTCGAGTTTCTTGAATGTATTCCATAGCTGATTATAGTCTTGGCTGTTGCCCGCTGCAGGCAAGCTATCAAACCGACGGGGAGACGAATTTATTTTTCGACATCTGAATAACAACATGAGTGTAATGGGAATGGAACAGGGCAAGTTGCATTTGGTAACAGAGAGATAGAAACAAAGAGAAAAAGATTTGCTTTCAGCAGAAAAATGACCCAACAAAGCCAAATTTCTCAGAATAGATCAAGGTTAGATAAGGCTTAACTGGCTCACCAAGTTGCCAAATAGAGTAGAAACATTTACTCCAATTGTATCCTTCTCTCCCAATGTAACAAACCTTAGATATTAAACTGGATTATACCAGCGTTTAAGAAGAGTTAAGAGGTGTTAAAAGAAATAATGTTGTAAGACACTTCCCTACTTTAATAGAGCCATGATAACGATTTAAGTATCGTTTAATTTATTTCCTCTGCACTTAGCCCAACATTGACGATGCACAAATTATGTTCATTAAATGTTCAAAACTGAATACCAGGCTGTCATCGGAGCTTAAAAAAATCCTAGAAAATGTGTTTATCTTAAAGATTCTCTAAGTGCTATTACAATGGTACAGGAATAGAACATGTTAATGATACGTTTGAGGTTGGAAATGTTGTTAGGAGGCAATGAAATATACAAACTTTGATTAAACGGCACGGTTGTTGGAATATAGCACTGAATCTTGAATCTTCTTGATTTATTTACACAAGCTTTAATCAAGACTGTACGCTTAATCTGATCAATATTGGAAACTGGCGTAAAGTTAATCTGGGCTCTGATGGTATGTGCCCTTTATTATTAGTGAACATTCACTCTTAAGTATGACAAGATGGAATTTACCTGCCAGAACAGAATGTCCTAATGATATTAGCAGGAAGATATTTAGAAGTAATGAGAACACTGCTGGACGGAATCACATTGTAAGTCCTTATTTTATCCGATTTCTATTTTGTTTTACTGTTCGTATTTTGAAACTGGAATCATTTTCCATCATTATTTATTTCTCTAACACGCTCTTTACGGGAATTAGAATGTGGAATTGGCGGTACCTCCAGTGCACAGCCTGTGCCTAGACTTGCCTAGACTTCAAGCAGGGCTGCTCTTCATGAGTGGCCAAAATCAGCTCATTGAAAATACGAATTGAAGGTTACAAAATCATTATTAAAATAGGCAGTGGTCTGGAAGGGACCTTGTCCTAGGTCACAGTGTGTTGAATTTCAAAAGCAAAATTAAATTTCGTCTGTATTCGTGTGCGTGTGTGTATGTGCGGGAGGGTGGATGGATGTGTGTGTGTGTGTGTGTGTGTGTGTGAGTGTGTGTATGTATGTGGGGTGGGTGGTGGTGGTGGTGGTGTATGGGGATGGGGCGGGGGGGAAGTACTCCTGATCCTTAATATGTTTGTTTGACTGTCCAATGAAGTAATATGTACTTTCATAATAAAACCATAGCAGAACCAATTCAATAAATACAATGCAGATAATATTCACCTGGAAAATAAATGCTGACATTCTTGGCGTGAATGTTAATACAATTAAACAGTTTCCCTGAAAGTTTGTTTCTGCGTTCAAAATCGAATACTTTTGGCTTTGGAGCTGATTGGAGATTTTCACTTATTCAAGAATCCATTGTTTAAATGACTGTTAAAAGACCAACTTCACAGAACTAACTGTCCGTATGTAATATAAATTATTATAATTTTAAGCTGGCAATTCTGATCAGTGAATACACACGCACGCACATTTATTCCATATAGTGTCAAGCAATAACCGGTGTGGCTTCAACGGCGATCACCCTCCTGTAGGATTTCCTGGAGATTATCTCTTTTGGAATATGGTCACTAGTGTCATTTGAAGTTCATTTCCGTTGCTAACGGCCAGGTACTCTCCAGATCACAGGATTATAGAAAACATGCTTCAATATTTTACTTTGAAGTTTCTGGATAATTTAGGTTCACTAATATTAGCTAAAAATGTCCTTCTCGAGGCGTTTGCTTCATTAGCGCGTATAAGTCGTTAATATTTCGGGATAGATTTGACTTTCTGTGGTACTGGAATTATTGCCGTTCGTAACAATTACATTCAATATTACATTGCCTACCGCTTAAACAAGACTGCAGCCAATGTCAACAGCAGTGAGGATTTTCCCTGTCTTCAGTAGAGTTTTAAATGCAAATTCATTCCAAATATATTGCGTTTCGATATTCTACTAAAAGGTGTCTTTTTGTGTTACATTTCTTGCACCTTTCCGATAGTAATACACGGAACCGGATCACTTTTAGTATGGATGTAACGGGTGTCACGATAAGAGTTTATCACGGTGG